AGAGAATTAATCGATTAAATTAGGAATTTTAATCGATTAAAGTGTACAGAAGCAAAAAGCCTGAAAAGAAAACTGAATCATAATCGATTAAATGAAGACAAATAATCGATTAGATGGTTCGGTACAAACTAATCGATTAAAGGAAGAAAAATAATCGATTATTGATCAAGGTTGAGCAGCCCAACGAAAGGCTTAAAAATCGATTAAATTTAAGCAATTAATCGATTAGGAGGTTCTGTCCAAGCTAATCGATTTTTTTAAAAGAAAAAATCGATTAAGCATTCAAACCTTGAGAAATAACGCTGGATCTAATCGATTATTTTAAAGGATATAATCGATTAAAATGAAAATAATGCGCAAACACAAAGGGCCCAAGCCAAGCGCGATTGGAAGCCCTTTGGCTTCTAACTCCTTGTTTGAGACAGCGAGAATAAAGAAGCGCTCCTCATAAAAATAATATCCCTTTTTCAATGAATTTGAATAGGGGAGAAAAAGTGAGTCCAAAAATTATTTTGTGTGTCAAACGATGTATACGAAAAATATTTAAAGTATGTTTTTCTCACCAAAGAAAATTGTGTAACTTTAAAAAAATGTTTTAAAGAAATTTTGACACACTTATTTTGAAACTGACTCACTAAAATATTTTAGACAGAGAAAAAGTAATTTTTCAACTCACTCTAAAATAATTTTTATCCCTCAGAAATTAAATTGTTTTGTGCAAAAGATATTGTCATCCTTACAAGAATCCTAGACTCAATAAAAAAATTTAGAAGTCTTCGAAGTCTTCACATCACTTCAAAAAACTGCGTGGGGGGAGCGTTGATTTATCCCGTAACTTTCTTGATACGCCTCTTTTCTTTTCTCGGTACGAAAAGTAAATTTTCGATCATCGTTTGAATTTCATCATCTTGTTTGTCATTTATCAAAACAAAAATATTCCAGAAAAATAATAAAGGGGTTTGAACTCATGTCCATTAAAGTCAACAGCCAAAACAGCGATGTAGGAGTATTGGACATCGCTGTTGGCATGACCGTTGGTTCCCAATTTTCAAAACGCAAGCCTAGAACAGCGATGTCCAAGCCTAGGACAGCGCTGTCTAGGTGAATTTCAGCAGATCCAAATTTAATCAAATCCCACAAATTGTGCCAATCACCCTTTAAATGTTTTGATCCGTTGGAGCCTATTTTTCCACTATAAAATGGGGTGTTTGGGTCTGTTTTACATCATTACATTACTTCACAACTCCTAGTCTTCCATTGCAAATCATTCATCCTTTATTCATAGCTTTTTGAGAGCCATTTTTGTGAAGCTTGTGTTTTGTTTTTGAGCGTTCTTAGTTACTCATTATCCACTCTAAAAGAGAGTATTGTTCTTGAGTGTTTTTAGTGTTCTTAGACACTTGACAAGAGAAAGTATTTCTCTTGTTGTTCGAAGGAAGGGCTGTTTCCTTCGAAGGTTCGTTGAGGTTCGTGTGACTCGAACTCTCAAGTTGTACGGGTTTGTTAAGCACCGTTAAGCTTAACGAGATAGTAGTGTAGCTCGAGAGAGTCTCTCGGGAGGCTGGATTAGCCACAAGTTGTGGTGAACCAGGGTAAAATCGGTGTGCCTCTTACTCTTCTCTTTACTTCTCGTTTTCTCACTTTTTATTCCTGCGATTTTTTGATCAAACGCTATTCACCCCCCCTCTAGCGTTGGTTTATTATTCTAACACCGAAAGCAATAAGACCCCACTTGACTTGTTTGTTGATCGAAGAAAGGAAATTGCTCAAAAAGTCCCACAAGGAAGGAAAACAGAAGCTGCTGCATCTGCTGGAACATCTTCTGCCAAACCTGCTGAAGCATCTCATGAAGCTTCTGCTGGAACAATTTATGCAGCACCCTATGCAAAAAGGCAAAGAGTTGTGACACAATCTAGTATGAGAAGACACAAGGATCATTATGCTAAACCTGAAAGGTATTCTTATACTAATGTCTATGCTAATTATGTTTGTTTTTGCTGTGGAAAAAGGGGACACGTTCAGAGGAAATGCAAGATTTTTAAAGAGCTAAGATACAGAAAAAAGATTGTGACAACAAGGATGATTTGGGTACCGAAGAATCAGTACAAAAAAGGTGATAATCCTTGTGTGAAGGATGTTGCTTCTGATCAATGCCATGTTAGTAGTGCGAGCTTGCATCAAGAAGAAAATAAGATTGATCGTTGTGCTGCTAAGAGTGCTGAATCATCTCATAAGTGTGATGAAGTGACACCTCCTAGCCATGAGAGTGTGAAGTTTATGACTATGAAAAAACGGGCATTGGGCATGTGTAAAAGAGCATTTGATGGGAATCGGTTTGGTATACTCAGATCCCGCTTGGGTCTGTGCACACCCATCTCTACCTCGTTTAAAGGATGCTCTAAGAGGTGTTTCATCTCCAGCGTGGAATACCTTAGAGCATAGATGTTTTTGCTGGTTGCATAAATGTCTTTATTTTTGCAGATTGTTACTTTTTCAGATGCATCATCCGAGGGGGAGTCGCTGAAGTGTGGCAAAGGTTAATGTGACAAAGTCTAGGTCTATTTTTATGTTCATTACTGTAATGCTCAAGGTCGCTTGAATGTTACTCTTCTCTTTTTGCCCCAATATTCTTAATAAAACCTTTGGCATTTTTTATGCAAAAAAAGGGGGAGAAGAGGTTCAAAACAGCTGAGATTCATTTTTATCAAAAATTGCCAAAGGGGGAGATTGTTAGTTCCATATTGTGTTGGCATTATTTTTTGACAAACGAATAGATTTACCTAGAATTATTTTAGATATTTTATTTAGACTTAGAGTTCTAGCATGTGAAGAAAGAGAAAGAGGAAAGAGCTTGAAGAAAGAAGTCTAATCCTACTTGGTTTACTATTCTTGAGGAGGAATGCATGGTTGAGACTCCTAAGCACACTCTAACAAGGTTAATATGCTCTATATATTATCTTCACCCTCCCTTAGGTTTTTGGACGTGCAAAACTACAAAAAACCTGAAGCAAATCCGATCAAAAGAAAAAACAAGGTGCAGATTTTGAGACTGTAAATTTTCTGGACAGCCCGCACGGATTTGATCATCGCTGGAGATCCGACCGTTGGATTTTGGTGAAAGTTTCAGAGAGTGTTCCCAACACATAGGGCTTCAACGTGTTCAAATTTCACGTCAATCGGAGTTAGGGATCTTCTGTTATCGAAGTTACAATCTACACATTGTTGTTGATTTTTTGCACAGAACGCAGCTCTGGTTTTGTCGATGATCGGAGTACCAAATATTGTCTGATCGTGCTGAAATTTTAGGAGGAGTCTAAGGACTCGTGGAGCTTCAATCTAAACGGTGGATATTGAATTTCAATGGTTCAATCTCGATTTATGAGCTTCAGAACAGCCTGTACATTTTTGTAGATCAAGGAGAATCTTTATTTGAAGGTGTATTGGAATCTACGTCCTTGAAGAAGATATTTGAGAAGGTGTAACAAGCCGTAGAGATAGACGCAAACCGAGTTTGTCGTCAAGTCATTCGTAAGTAGACAAATCAATACATTAGAAGGTTCTGTTGTGATTGATTGTGTAATTCTTACGGTGATTTAGTGGAAGGGCTATTACACGGACGTGGGCCTTGCAGACGTAGGAGAATTTGCTCCGAACTGCGTGAACAATTCTAGTGTCTTGCTTGCTGTTTTTACTTTATATTCTACGTGTGTGCTTGTGACAGAGAAGGTGTTATAGCACTCTGTCAGTCATCTGTTACTGTGCTGCAACATCTTCTCTACAACATAGTTGATTGTTTTGTTTGCATAGCTTGTGTTTGGTGTTATCCGCTGCACCCCACGAACTTACAATCTGATCTAATTTTAATAAGAATAAGTAATAAGTAGAAAAAATAAGTCGTACGGAACGGACCCTAAGCTGTATTGGGGAACTGTGTGTTGAAATTTCTTCCCAAGACTGGCAATTTTCGTTAGACTTGCTCCATTGCTTGGTACAGAGTACAATTTAACATTAATTAAAATGCGAAAAATTTAAAAAATAAAATCATAAAAGAGGAATAGAAATTTGAAAATTCATTGCTAATAATGGAAAAATTATTTTCAATATTAATGATAACTTATAATTATTGTACTTATACTCCATTCGTCCCAACAATATGGGAGCTTAGGATTTTTTTAGGGATTTAAGTGTAGTGTATATTGGTGTTGAGTTTCTAAAAATGTCCTTGGATGTGATGAGTAAAAGTAGGATATTATTAGACCTGGCAAAACAGAACCGGAATCGATTACCCGAATCGAATTATCCGAAATCGAAATCGAGGTGGTCCGAAAAATGTCTTAAGATCCAATCTATAACCGAAAACCCGGAATGACCTGAATCGAACCAAAACCGAAATAAATAATTCATATCTGATTTAAATCCGAAACCGATTAGATCCAAAACCGATTAAACCCAAAACCGATTAGATCTGAAACCGGTAATACCCGAAACTGATAAAACCTGAAACCGATTAGATCGGAAACCAATAATATCCAAACCTGATTAGAACTAAAACCGATAAATTCGGAATTGTGTTTGCCTTTCAATAAGCATATTATATTTTTATTTTACCATTTGAACTAATTACATTATATGTTCATTCACTCATAAAATGGATTATCATCTAGAAAAAATATTACAAAATCTCATGCCTTAAATTTATTATATTTAGAAATTGAAGATAAGTTATACATATAAAATTTTGGATGAATAAAGTGAGCCAACTATTTTCTTATTAACAAAATTAGACGGAATAAAATATTTGAAAAACAATGTGAGGCATCAATTGAAAAAATTAGGTCTACGAGTTGAAGGTGAATGGAAATTGAGAAATGAGTTGAATGGTGGCATAAGAAAATTGATAAGATTACACAAAGAAACTAAAAAGGAATGGGGGGAATTTTTAGCATAAAAAAATTGATAAAGAATTAAGTCTTTGGTTAGATATTATATGAAAAATACAGTACTAATTTCAGTTTTAAGTTACAAAATCAAATTAAAACAATCTTATTTTGAAGAAAAAACTCCCACTATCTTAGAAAGAATGCCGCATAACGCAAAATAAAGCAAAAGTTTTAAGTTTTTAAAATTTACTTTATTTAAAGATTGGTATAGAAATAAAAAAATGTCTACATATTAAAAAAATACGTAAAAAGTTTTTACAAAATAAGATGTTACAAGAATAATACTCCCTCCATCCGCCTAAGATCTTCTCATTTTGACTTTTTGTGGTTTTTAAGGAGAGTTGCAAAAAGGTGAATGTTTACCATAATACCCTTAATGAAAATGGATAGAGTATATTAAATGATGTGGGTGAGGTGTAATAAATAAAGTAAGTGGGGGTAGTTGTGGTATTTTAATTGTTAAAAAAGGTAATGAGAAGATCTATGGTGGACAAATAAAAAGGGCTAATGGGAAGATCTATGGGAGAAGGAGGGAGTAATTTATTTTATCAAATAATAAATAATAACGCACAAACAAATAAAATTTCCATAATTTTTAAATAGTGAAGTGTGATTTTATTTTTGGGACGAAAGGATTATATGATGAAATGGAATAACTAGATTTTATCGTAATTTCATCCAATTACAATAAACTTTATTGGTATGGGAGTTAATTTGATTAGTTTCATACCAATCTGTTAGACAAATGTGCAACTCTAAATTGGGGGTGAATAAAGTTGTTTTCAAGAATGTGTGTTTTTTGCGTGTGTGAAATAAAGATCGCTAGAATAAATTAAAAGAGTAAGGGAAAGAAGAACACCGAGATTTATACTGGTTCACCACCTCGTAGCTAGTCCAGTCCTCCGAGAGACTCTCTCGAAAGTCCTACTAATCTTCAAGCTTCAACGGGTGCTGGAAAAACCGATACAACTTGAGAACTTGAATCACACAAGCCTCACTTTCTTACAACACCAAGACTTGAGTCACACAAGTCTTAAGAACAACACTCAAACAAGATGAGTTTACAACACAAGAATGAAAGCTCACACAATTGAGCAAGTAGTGTTTGAAAGATTAAAGCTCTATGGATGACAATATCTTTAGCACTCAATGAAAAATATTTCTCTCAAAAATAATATTTGATGAGGAAGATGGAAGCAAGAATTGAATATTACTCAAAGGAGATAATGGAGTGCAAGAGTTGTATTCTAAAATGAAGGAGAATGAGGGATTAAATAGGCAGAAGATAAAAGTACCGTTGGAGCCACTGAAAGGTACTTAGAATAGGCACCAGACAGAATTAATCGATTAAATTAAGGACTTTAATCGATTAAAGTGTACAAAAGCAAAAAGGCCTGTAGGTAAGAGTGGAACTAATCGATTAAAAGAATATAATAAATCGATTAGTCGGATCTGTCTGAACTAATCGATTAAACGAAGAGGAAAAATCGATTAGTATTCCAAACATGGTATTTAAACGTTAAGCCATTAATCGATTAATTTTAGACAATTAATCGATTAATAAGGAAATAATGCGCAAACACAAAGGGCCCAAGGCCAGTTGCGATTGAAAGGCATTGGCTTATGTTAGAATAAAGGCCCAACGCTAGAGGGGGGGTGAATAGCGTTTAAAACAAAATCGCAGGAAATTAAAACGAGAGTGATAAAGTAAAGAGCGTAAGGAAGGAGCACACCGAATTTTATCCTGGTTCACCACAACGTGTGGCTAATCCAGCCTTTCGAGAGACTCTCTCGAGTTACACTAACTCCGTTAAGCTTAAAGGTGCTCAACAAACCGATACAACTTGAGAACTCGAGTCACACGAGCCTCAACGCCTTTGCTTGGAGATACCGCACTCCAAGACTTCTCACGAAGGAACGAAAGACTTCCTTAGAGTTTACGACAAGGGAACAACCTCCCTTTAAGTGTATAGAAACACTTAAACACTCAGGAATAAAAACTCTCACAAAGAGTAGATATGAGTGAACTACTAAACGCTCAAGAACACGACAATTTCTTCAAGAATTGGCTCTCAAATAGCTAAGAAAAATAGGAATGCTTATGCAATGAAAGAGTATTGAAATGTTGAAGAATTGTGTGATGGTCCAAAATGGGATAAACCCGTTGCTAGAGTTTCCAACAGGATGAAGACAAATTTTTCAGGGACACAGGCTGATAGTCGATTATCCAAACTTGATAATCGATTATCAAAAGATTCCTTGTCCAAAAATTTGAAATTCTATCCATTGGAGGACAACGGTAACCTAGATAATCGATTGTCAACAAGTGATAATCGATTATTGGTCCTCTCAGAAGATTCTGGGTTTTGGCTGCAGAGACTGATAATCGATTATTGCATAAGTGATAATCGATTATTGCATAAGTGATAATCGATTATTGCGTGCTTCAGAACTTTGGAAGTTCAAAGCTGTAGGGGCTGATAGTCGATTGTCACTAAGGTGATAATCGATTATCACCCAGCTAAAGTCTAGCCAGCTGAAACCCGTTTGGAAAAACCGAGGTCCAAAAACGAAGTGTTCCCAAAAGTAAAAACCAACTTTGAAAAACATTGTATATGGAATAAAATAGTGAAAACAAGACTTCTTCGGTAAAAACCAAGTCTCCAAGGTCGTACATCACGTGCGTACGGTTTTGACCGTTTTTCACGTGTTAGACCGATTGACAAAGATACAAAAGTGGTTTTTATAAAATAATTATTTGGGAACATTTTAAAAATGCTCAGAGGTAAAAACAGGGTTTAAAATATTGAAAACCACGGAGTTGATTCGGGCGCCAAAAACCGAACGCCGAAAGCCAAACGCCGAACGCTGACTTAGGTGGTTTAGGTTCCGAGCAAGGACCAGAGATTTTAATCAATAAAAAATCATCAGAAATATTTATTTTGATGCACAAAAAATATTTTATGATTTGTAAAAATTGTTTTGACTCTTTGAGAACCGAGACTTGAATTTATTGTCGGTTTTGATCACAAAAGACCGACTCGACTAAGTCTTCAATTCTTGATCTTGTCCTTGAGTCTTTTTGGTCTTGTTCCAAGCTATTCTTCACGCCTTGAGTTATTCAACGAAACTCTTCATATCCACGGCGGTTTGGCAATTATCAAAACCTGTCAGAAATGAACACGACTTTAGTTTATCGTACAAAGTGTATTCCAACAGCTTATACACGTTGTTTGAGACAACGTGAATATCAACGACGCTCCTCAAAAAGAAAAAATATCATATTCAATGAATTTGAATAAGGGAGTAAAAGTGAGTCCAAAAAATATTTTGTGTGTCAAACGATGTACACGAAAAAATATTTAAAGGAAATTTTTCTCACAAAAAATATTTGTGTACCCCTAAAAAATATTTTAAGAAAATTTGACACACTATTTTGAAACTGACTCGGTAAAATGTTTTTAGAAAGAGAAAAAATGATTTTTCAAGAAAATAATAATTTTTATCCCTCAAAATTAATTTTGTTTATGCAAAAAGTCATTGTCATCCTTACAAAAATTCCTAGACTCAATAAAAATAAAAAGTCTTCGGAATCTTCACTTCTCTTCAAAACAAAACTGCGTAGGGGTGAGCGTTGATTTCATCACCGTTATATTCTTGATACGCCTCTTTGCTTTTCTTGATACGAAAAATAAATTTTCGATCATCGTTGAGTTTAATCATCCTGTTTGTCATTTATCAAAACAAAAAAAAATATTTCAGAAAATATCAAAGGTTTTGAACTCATGTCCAACAATTTCCCCCTTTTTGATAATGACAAACATAGTTGAGAAAAAAGCAAAGTAAGAGTTCAAGAAATACTTCCCTTAATTTAATTCCCCCTGCATGGTTGGAGAAGTGCAGTAAAAACAAATTCAGAGTAAAAAGCGGAAAAACGTTTTTGAAAAACAATTTTTCTCAACTATCCTTCCTTCCCCCTTTTGGCATTATCAACCGATATCCTCCTCCTTAATTGATGCCGGGATTTTGAAGGATAGTAAAAAAAAAATTGCAAGAGTTTTCTTTAAAAGAGAACTTCTAGCAAAAAATCACAAAGGGACAATATGTTCTAAAAGAGAACCATATTGCCAAACCAACAAACATATCAATGCATAATTAACATCATCGATAATAAATCAATTAATAACGATAACTGGCATCATCCAACGAAACATCAACATTCACCAAATGAGTCAAAATAACAATAGCATTTAATAATGTATCATAACAACGTCAACATAATCAAAGAGAGTGCGTCGGACGAGCTCCTCCGCTTAAGCTGTGACGCGGGCCACGGAAGGAGCGGGATTGCTCGAAACGAGTTATCCTCTCGTTGAGTTGGCGAACGTCATCTCGAATGCATGTGAGAGTATCGAAGATCCTCTTCACCCAAGATGGTTCCGGTGCTTCTTCTCTCGGACGAGTCCTGCGTTGACGAGTGACGCGCTCCGTGGCTCGACTTCCTCCGGCACGAGACGCCTCGGCTTGAGTCTCGTTTTGGCTCTCTTCTTCGTCTGCGACAACGAGGCCCAGATTAGGTGCAGCATCGCCCTCCTCACGGTACACGATCCGGGAAAACTTGGTGTCCTTGATGTAGCAAGTCTTCTTCACCGGCACCTGAGTGTCCCGAGTAAGTTCCACTTTGCAATGAGCAAGGATATGCATGATAGGGATGGCAAAACGAAGATGTGAAAAGAGAGAGCCCTCACGGAGTGCAACAAGAAAGAAATGAACCCAATCAAATTTTACATTGTTCAACAGGACGTGAAACAAACGAATGTCGTCCTTGTTGACAACGCCATGGTTCGAATCACGGGGCAACAAAACATAACAGAAGATGTATTGTTGGACGCGTTGAATCAAAGTGAGGTTAATGACACTCGGGTTGCTAGAATTTCTAAACTTGAGGTCACGATGATCTAACCCGAGTTGTCTCCAAATTCCCTCATCTTGGAATGTTTCATCCAAGTTATCTGTAATTTCACCTCTACGAAGGCCAAAGAGAGAGGTCAAGGCGGCACCGGCAACAAAAACGGTTTTTCCGTCAACATAGGAGATGAGAGATGGCGAATATCCCAAAGTGGTACGAAGATTGGAGCAAAATTGACGTATAAGATTTGGACAAAAGACTTCATACGTCAAATGAATAAAACGGAGCAAACCTTGCTGAGAGAAAAGGGACTTGCTCGGGGCATAGGTCGCCGATTTGAAGAAGTCCTTGTCCACAATCTTGCCTATGGAGTCATGACCTTCCCCTTCAGAACGAAGGTCAAGATCAAACCAACTCAGGAGTTCCTCGTTGGGTGGGTGAGATCCCTGTCCCCTTCGGAACGACAGTTCTTGGATCCCCGTGTACACGTTTTTACCCAGACAGCCATTGGACCCAGCAGGTACCACATGACTCTAACTTTCTAACTTATGACATATCTTGCCTTTACTTCCCTTCAGGTCAGATCCTAGGTTTGTTCTAGGTATATCATGCCTAAATCGTCATTAGTTACAGTCATACATGTTCATACATCTTACACATATTTCATCACATCCAATACACTCAATTAGCGGCCTAACACTGGGTATCGCTACCCTCGTTTACCGTCATGCAACACACAAGGTCTCGGAATCAATCCTCGACGCAAACAACAAAGTGCAGACCGGTTCAGGTACCTCACGGTATCCCTTGGCGGTAGGGGTTACCGGCCCCACGGCACCAGGGTACCGTCCGTGTCAGCTGGGGTTCCAGCCGGTAGCCCGTCACGGTAGCCCCCGACGGTAGGGTCTACTGTCACACGGCACCCGGGTCCCGTCCTGAGCAGGTGCCGCCAGAAAAGAACGAAACCGGGGAAACTGGCGGTAGCTAGGTAACATGTCAACGGTACCCCCCTACCGTCTGTCGCGACGAACACCAGACTTGCACCAGCTCCGTTTCCGTCCCTTTGGCAGCAACCACACCAGTGATAACAAGCATAACAGATCGTAAAACATTAACCTTAGTATTTCATAACCTATCCTCAACCATTCCAACACAACTCATGCTTTTCAAACCATAAACAATAAGCACAAAACCTAATTCACGTATAATCCACATAAATCAACCATAATGATTCTACGAACGTAAGATTCAAACCTACGAATATAATCCATACGTTAGATGACGACGTTCTCACCTCAAATTCGACGATTAAACTACGATATGGTACTCACGAACAACGGCGTCAGACTCTTCTTCTTTCTTCTCTTCTTCTCCTTCTTCTCTTCTTCTCCTTCGTGCGTCGCTGCTGCCTTGATCGAGAGAAACGAGAGACGTGAGAGAGTGGGGAGGAGGTTACGTAAATGTGGTGTGAGGCGTAGGGGTTTGGGGCGTGTAAGGGGTGTATTTATACTTTTGGGGTTTTGGGCTCCATATTAACAAAACGTACCTGGCCCAAATCCACATTCCGGCCCCACTAACTCCAAATTCGAATCCGATTTCACCGGTAGATTCGATCCGTCGAACCCTACACAACGGTATATTTTTTAATATTAAACGAAAGGTATATATAATTTTCCACCGGGTCAGTCTCAGTAATTAATTTATTATTTTCCAATTAATTAATTCTGATAGGCCGGGTTTTGGGGCGTTACATCTCCCATCATCGACATTTCAAATTCGCTTTGCATCATATTGGAAAAATCCATGCACAAAACCTCGTTAGTAGCACCGAATATGATATCATCTACGTAAACTTGAACCAAAAGGATGTCTTGGTTATCTTTCTTGATGAAAAGAGTAGTATCGACTTGACCCCGTTTGAACTCATGGTCCAAGAGAAATTTACTTAACCGTTCATACCAAGCACGAGGTGCTTGTTTGAGACCGTAAAACGCCTTTTTGATTTTACGACATGTTCGGGAAACTCATAGTCTTTGAAACCCTGGGGTTGTTCGACATACACTTCCTCTTGAATGATACCATTAAGGAAGGCACTTTTAACATCCATTTGATAAAGTTTAAAATCCATCGTAGATGCAAATGCAAGTAATAAGCGAATAGCTTCTAAACGTGAACCGGTGCATAAGTTTCTTCATAATCAATGCCTTCTTCTTGATTGTAGCCTTTAGCTACAAGCCTAGCTATGTTTCTAGTGATTACTCCATTTTCATCGAGTTTGTTACGAAACACCCATTTTGTGCCAATAACGGAATGATCATTAGGTCTAGGCACCAATTCCCAAACATCATTGTGTTTAAATTGGTTAAGCTCCTCTTGTATTGCCATAGACCAATGTTCATCATTAATAGCATCCAAAACGGTTGTTGGTTCAATTTGTGAAACAAAGGCCATGTGAATAATTATGTTGCTATTGGAACACAGGTTTACGCCTATGTTGTACTAAACCGTATTCGTTTTATGACAGGTTTTGATAATGCCAAACCGCCGTGACAACAACACGAAACTGAGACGATCAAAGGCGAAGGAACATGGCATGATGATTTGAGAACCGAGAACCAAGAACCAAGAACAAAGACTTAGAATTTATTGAGTCGGTCTTAATGTGATCAAGACCGGCACAAACATCAAAACTTGGCTCTCTAAACAAGCCTAAAACACTTGGTGTTCGCCCAAACCAAAAACCAAGCCATCCGGCGTTCGGCTTTCAGAATCCGGCGTTCGGCATTCGGTTATCGGCGTTGGTTTTTTTGGTGTCTGAACCAACCAAGTGGTTTTTAATTTTTAATGATTGGTTTTTACTTCTGGGCATATTTAAATAGTTCTCCAACAAAAACGCTTCAAAAACCACCTTTCGTTTTCGGTCGTTTAGTGAAAACCATGCGAAACGGCGTAAACTTGGCTAGCCGTGGTTTTCAATTAAATGCCGTGGTTTTTAAGATGCTTTACTTGATTTCTTAGTAAAATGCTTTAAACAAACATTTTCAATACTTGGTTTTTATTTTTGGAGAACTTACATTTTTTTGACATCGGCTAACGGCATGACTAAACCAACCTTGGGTCTGGCTAAACTAGCCCAACAGCGATGTTGGTGTAACCAACAGCGCTGTCTGGCATGGGAAGCTGAAAACCATGGTTTGGCGTTAAGTCTTTCAACAGCGATGTTGGATGTTAGACATCGCTGTTGAGCCAAGGTTGGGTTTCCAAAATCATCTAGAACAGCGATGTAGCCTACCTTACATCGCTGTCCAACCTAAGCCAAAACCAAATACATTGGCAGAAAGTTTTTGGACAGCGCTGTTGACCTAGACCCAGCGATGTCAGGCCATTTCTTTCACTTTCAAAGTCAGGCCTAAACAGCGATGTTCAAGCAATGAACATCGTTGTAGGCACCTGACCATTGGAAGGAATTTAAGGCTAAAACTTTCCTTGTTTGGAAGTCAACAGCCAAAACACCGATGTAGGGGTTTTTGGACATCGCTGTTGGCATGAGTGTTGCTTCCCAATTTTCAAAAACCAAGCCTAGAACAGCGATGTCCAAGCCATGGACAGCGCTGTCTGGGTGATTTTTAGCAGATCCAATTTTAATCAAATCCCACAAATTGTGCCAATCACCCCTTAAATGTTAGACAAATGTGCAACTCTAGAGGGGGGGGGGGTGAATAGAGTTGTTTTCAAGAATGTGCATTTTTCGCGTGTGTGAAATAATAAAATCGCAGGAATAAATAAAGAGAGTAAGGGAAATAAGAACACCGAGATTTATACTGGTTCACCACCTCGTGGCTAGTCCAGTCCTCCGAGAGACTCTCTCGAAAGTCCTACTAATATTCAAGCTTCAACGAGTGCTTGAAAAACCGGTACAACTTGAGAACTTGAATCACACAAGCCTCACTTTCTTACAACAACAAGACTTGAGTCACACAAGTCTTTAGAACAACACTCAAATGGGATTGAGTTTACAACACAAGAATGAAATCTCACACAATTGAGCAAAGTAGTGTTGAAGGATTAAAGCTCTATGGATGATAACTTCTTTAGCACTCAAAGAAAAAATATTTCTAACTCTCAAAAATAATATTTGATGAGGAAGATGAAGCAAGGAATGAATATAGCTCAAAGGGTATATTAGAGTGCTAGAGTAGTGTATAGAAATGAAGGAGAATGAGGGATTAAATAGGCTAAGGAAAATAAAGCCGTTGGAGCAAGCGAGAATATGCACCAGACAAAAATAATCGATTAAAGTGAAACTATTAATCGATTAAGGTACACAGAGGCGAAAATGCCTGAAATTAGGAAAGGAACTAATCGATTAAACTGAAGAAAATAATCGATTAGGTGGTTTTGTGCTAACAAATCGATTAAATGAAGAAAATTAATCGATTATTGGGCGATCCTGGGAATCCAACCAGAAGTCTATTAATCGATTAAAAAAGAAGAGAAAATCGATTAATTTCAAAATATCGTGCAAACATAAAGGGCCCACCAATTTGCGATTGAAGCCTTTGGCTTCATACGGGTTGTTTGAGACAACCAGAATCAATGCACGCTCATTGATAGCCCTTATTCAATTAATTTGAATAAGGGAGAAAAAGTGAGTCCAAAAAATTATTTTGTGTGTCAAAAGATGTACACGAAAAATATTTAAAGTATATTTTTCTTACCAAAAAAAATTGTGTAACCTTAAAAATATTTTTAAGAAATTTTTGACACACTTATTTTGAAACTGTCTCAGTAAAATATTTTTATACAGAGGAAAAGTAATTTTTCAACTGACTCAGAAAATAATAATTTTTGTAACACCCCACCCGCATAACCCGAATAAATAGGTTAGCGAACCGGGTTGCTACTAGATTGGTATCAACATACAATATTTCCCAATAAATTAAAACATTTAATTTAAAACCCAAACAACTTAAAATCAATTTAAATACATATCGGAGTTTATACAAACAGTGCGGAAGCCTTATAAATAAATCAAACATTAAATCCCTGCGTTCGTACATCTCCTCCGTCATGCTGCTCTCCGGGATGGATTCCAGAATCAATCTACCACAACCACCTACGTGTAGCAAATAGGAAAAAGGGCTACACGCTCAGCATTGAAGCTAAGTGAGAAATATCTAACAGTTCGAACATACACATAGGCGAATCCACTAATTCACAATTATCACATGATATCATGCACACAACATGCTTGGCAACAATCATACGGCATATAAGATATAACATGCATAGTCAACGTCACAATAGTTCATAAGATACAAGCAATAAGGATATAAGTATTAGGAACTTTCCTATTTATTTTACTTTACTTTCTTTATCGTACATGGCTCTTAACCTATACTAGGTTAAAGCTTAACTGAATTCGACTTGCCTATGGAGTCATGACCTTCCCCTTCGGAACGAAGACCAAGCTCAAACCAACTCGGGAGTTCCTTGTTGGGTGGGTGAGATCCCTGTCCCCTTCGGAACGACAGTTCTTAGATCCCCGTGTACATGTTTTTACCCGAACAGCCATTGGACCCAGCAGGTACCACATGGCTCTAACTAACTATACTTATGGCATACCTTGCCACTAATCCATTCAGGTCATTTCCTAAAGATTCTTCTAGGTGATATACCCAACAATCATTAATCAACACATAATACAACATTCATAAATCCACAATGCATTTAACAAGATATCCAACATAATCAAATAGCGGCCTAACACTGGATGTAAACACCCATGTTTATCGTCATGCAACACACGAAGTCTCGGAATCAATCCTTGACGAACACACAGATCGACAGACCCGGAACCAGGTACCAGACGGTACCTGTCACGGTACGGGGTACCGTCCTCACTAACTGAACCCAGCCGGTAGGCCTATCACGGTAGCCACTACCGACCCGGCGGTAGGGCCTACCGTCCGTCCGGTACCAATGTACCGAATGGTCACAGCTACCGACAGAGAAGATATAACCAAACAGCGTGTGATGGTAGCACGGTACCGACCTGGCGGTACCGCCTACCGTCTGATGCAACCAGTTCCATATTCATACCTATTCCGTTTTTCAGCATCAAACCAACAGCAATCTCATAATCAACAAACACCATTATATTCGTAGTAACGTTCTAAACGTTATCAAGCACATCAATTCATCAGTCAACGCCTAATTCATGCATACTACCCTTTTTGGTTTAACAACAACATATCCCAAAACCACAATCAACAATTATACAGATAAATCACACAGATCAACCACGATAACAATTATGAACGGAATTTCAAACCTAGATGCATATTCTAGTGTTAGATGTCCACGTACTCACCTCGATTCGTTGATTCGATTTCAAAGAAACCCTTATTCGAACGAAGCATTGACAGAGTCAACTATACCCCGCTGCCCCAATCTTGATCGTTGATGTCCGTAGATCGTCGAGGTGCTACTGCCACTGTCCAGAACCGCCCACTGCTGCCCAGGGCTGCCCGAACCAAATCGAGCAATACCTAGTCGTCGCCGGTCGCAGGAGCTTGCTGGTTTGCCGGCTGTTTTCTCGCCACTCACCGGAGAAGTTGAGGGTCAAACCATCCTCGTCCTTGTCTAGACTCCACCTCGCCGCTTCCGTGGTCGCTGGAATGGTCGGTCGCAACTCTGCACCGATCGTTCTCGTCCAAGGACTGTCGCCTCACCGCCGTGCTGAGACGCCGTCATCGCTGGGTCGACGGGGGAAATTGTCTCCCGACGTTGGCGCTGCTGCTGGTGGATCGAAGTATGAGGTTGGCTGCGGCGCTGATAACGTGTCCGGGTAAAACACACTTTTTGGGCCAACTTGCTCCGAATTGAGATCTGTTCGCGTCGTTTGATTCGATTCATGGATCCCTACCCGATGATATAACTTTTATATTCAATTGACAACATTTATACATTCCATTTGATCCGTCTTAACTCTTTCGATTAATTAGTACTGAACAGTCTTTTTACTTTATATCTTTACAAATATAATCAGATTAGTTTTATTATATTGAGACGATTAAATCTCAAAAGTACCTTATAATTTTCTAAAAGAATAGATTGTCGTAAATAAATAATTCTTGTTTATTTAATTATCAAATAACTTCTAGACCGGTTTCTGGGGCGTTACAATTTTTATCCCTCAAAAAATAATTTGTTTGTGCAGAAAGTATTGTCATCCTTACAAAGATTCCTAGACTCAATTAAAAGAAATCTTCGGAGTCTTCACTTCACTTCAAAAACTTCTGCGTAGGGGTAAGCCTTGATTTTATCTTGATACGCCTCTTTGCTTTTCTCGATACGAAAATAAATTTTCGATCAGCTTGAATTTAATCATTCTGTTTGTCATTCATCAAAACAAAAAAAAATATTTCAGAAGAAATAGTAAAGGGGTTTGATAATGACAAACATAGTTGAGACAGAGCAAAGTAAGAGTTCAAAAAATACTTCCTTTTAAGAATAATTCCCCCTGCAATGTTAGAGAAGTGTAAAAAAAATATCGGAGTAAAAAAAAATTTCTCAACTATCCTTCCTTCCCCCTTTTGGCATTATCAACTGATATCCTTCCCGCTTAATCAATGCCGGGATATTGAAGGATAAAAAAAAATTGCAAGAAATTTTCTTAAAAAAAAAGAACTTCTAACAAGAATGCCACAAAGGGACAATATGTTCTAAAAGAGAACCATATTGCCAAACCAACAAACAAATACATAATGGCAACATAATCATCCCCCAAAAGAGTCATTGACAACAACAATAGCAAATAACAATGTATCATATTAAGTTAAGACAGAAGGAAAACAATCAAAGAGAGTTCGCCGACGAGCTCCTCCGCTAAAGCTGTGACGCGGGCCACGGTAGGAGCGGGATTGCTTAAAACGAGTCATCCTCTCGTTGAGCTGGCGAACGTCATCTCGGATGCACGTGAGAGCATCGAAGATTCTCTTTACCCAAGATGGTTTCGGTGCTTCTTCTCTTGGACGAGTCTTGCGTTAACGAGTGACGCGCTCCGTGGCTCGACTTCCTCCGGCACGAGATGACTCAGCTTGAGTCTCGTTTTGGCTCTCTTCTTCATCTGCGACTATCAGGTCCAGATTTGTGCAGCATCGCCCTCCTCACGGTACACGATCCGGGAAAACTTGGTGTCCTTGATGTAGCAAGTCTTCTTGACCGGCACCTGAGTGTCCCGAGTAAGGTCTTTTTTGCAATGAGCAAGGATATGCATAATGGGGATTGCAAAACGGAGATGGGAAAAACGAGTGCCATCACTAAGTGCAACGATAAAGAAGTGAACCCAATCAAATTTGACATTGTTCAACAGGACGTGAAACAAACGAATATCGTCCTTGTTGACAACGCCATGGTTCGAATCACGGGGCAACAAAACATTGGAGAAGATGTATTGTTGAACGCATTGAACCAAAGTGTGGTTAATGACACTCGGGTTGCTAGAATTTCTAAACTTGAGGTCACGATGATCTAACCCGAGTTGTCTCCAAATTGCCTCATCTTGGAATGTTTCATCCAAGTTTCCGGTTATTACTACCTCGACGAAGGCCAAACAGAGAAGTCAAACCGGCACCGTCAATGAAAACGGTTTTGCCGTCAACATAGGAAATGAGAGATGGCGAGTCTCTCTTAGTGGTACGAAGATTTGCATAAAATTGACGTATAAGATTTGGACAAAAGAATTCATACGTCAAATGGATGAAACGAAGCAAACCTTGCTGAGAGAAAAGAGACTTACTCGGGGCATAGGTCGCCGATTTGAAGAGGTCCTTGTCCACAATCTTAGGTGAGACGATCTCTTTCGTGAGAAAGGTGTTGTGGAACCTCTCGGCTGAAGCCCCAGTGTTGAAGGCGAGTCCGGTTTGGATGTGGATGTACTTGCTCCCTTCACGACGTAATGGCCTCTCACCTTCTTCTACCGTCGATTCTTAATGCGATGAAGCGTTCTTGCACCTTGGCATGTTTCCTCTTTGAAATTGACAAAATTTGGTGAGATTTGGTGATGAAATTGTTGAAGAAAAACGGAGATGGAGTTGAAAGAGGAGGCTAGGGTTTCGCACGGTCTCTGTAAAACTGAGATGGCGTTGAAGACGAAGGCACTGTCTGATTATAAAGAGAAGCAAAAATCGAATATTAATCGATTAAAAAAAGGTGCTTTAATCGATTAAGGAACATAGCCGAGGCCAATCGATTAAGTTAAACTAATTAATCGATTCGAAGTGGAGCAGAACCAAAGACATTTGTGCTTCAGGCTATTAATCGATTAAACAAAGATGGTTAATCGATTAAGATGGACAGACGCTTCTAATCGATTTCTCTTTGAGGAGTAATCGATTAAAAACAGTTTGGCAGGAAAGAAATCATTAAGTCCAATTCGGTTGAATGCCAAGGGAAGAGATACCTGAAATAAAAGCCCCGTAAAAAAGAATTTATCGCGCCTCCGACGCTCAAATTAGTATAGTCAATAAAAAGAATGGATTAGTTCATAGAGATATCCAAAATGCCAAGTTCGTTCCGAATGTGGAAGAAACTCTCCCTACTAAGGGGTTTCGTGAAAATGTCCGCCAATTGATGATTCGTTTCAACAAACTCAATTGTGACATCTCCCTTTTGGACGTGATCTCGTATGAAGTGATGCCTAATTTCTATGTGTTTAGTCCTCGAGTGAAGAACGGGGTTCTTCGTTAGACTAATAGCACTCATATTATCACACCTAATAGGGATGTGATCAAGTATAAGGCCAAAATCCACTAGTTGTTGTTTTAGCCAAAGAATTTGGGCACAACAACTTCCCGCAGCGACATATTCCGCTTCGGTGGTGGAGAGTGCAACACTAACCTGTTTCTTACTAAACCACGAGATTAACGAATGACCGAATAAGTGGCAAGTACCGCTGGTACTTTTCCTATCGAGTTTGCAACCTGCAAAATCCGAGTCGGAATAGCCAACAAGATGACATGTTGAACCTTTGGGATACCAAAGACCTACGTTCAACGTGCCTGCGAGATATCGCATTATCGTTTTGATCGCAACCAAGTGCGACTCTTTAGGACATGATTGATACCTAGCGCATATACAAACGGAGTACATGATATCCGGTCTACTCGCGGTAAGATAAAGTAAAGAGCCGAACATACCTCGGTAGCGCTTGATGTCTACCTCTTTACCTTTTTCGTCCTTGTCGAGATAGCAAGAGGTGCTCATTGGTGTGTCAATGGATTTGGATTCGGTAACATCGAATCTTTTAAGCAATTCCCTGCAATATTTCGTTTGACACACGAATGTTCCTTCTTTGTGTAGTCTAATTTGCAGCCCAAGGAAGAACTTTAATTCTCCCATCATCGACATTTCAAATTCGCTTTGCATCATATTGGAAAAATCCATGCACAAAACCTCGTTAGTAGCACCGAATATGATATCATCTACGTAAACTTGAACCAAAAGGATGTTTTGGTTATCTTTCTTGATGAAAAGAGTAGTATCGACTTGACCCCATTTGAACTCATGGTCCAAGAGAAATTTACTTAACCGTTCATACCAAGCACGAGGTGCTTGTTTGAGACCGTAAAGCGCCTTTTTGATTTTAAGACATGTTCGGGAAACTCATAGTCTTTGAAACCCGGGGGTTGTTCGACATACACTTCCTCTTGAATGATACCATTAAGGAAGGCACTTTTAACATCCATTTGATAAAGTTTAAAATCCATCGTAGATGCAAATGCAAGGAATAAGCGAATAGCTTCTAAACGTGAACCGGTGCATAAGTTTCTTCATAATCAATGCCTTCTTCTTGATTGTAGCCTTTAGCTACAAGCCTAGCTATGTTTCTAGTGATTACTCCATTTTCATCGAGTTTGTTACGAAACACCCATTTTGTGCCAATAACGGAATGATCATTAGTTCTAGGCACCAATTCCCAAACATCATTGTGTTTAAATTGGTTAAGCTCCTCTTGCATTGCCATAGACCAATGTTCATCATTAATAACATCCAAAACGGTTGTTGGTTCAATTTGTGAAACAAAGGCCATGTGATTAGATGTGTTCCTAAGAGCATTACGAGTAGAAACTCCCTGCGTTATGTCACCAATGACATTGTCAATCGGGTGGTTCTTCAATGTTCTCCATTCCTTAGGAAGCTCCGTTTGTTCCTGCATTTTCTCTTCTTCCGGTTCCTTTTCCTTAACGATTTCTTTTTCATCGTCATAAGAACCTGCAACATTATCAACAATACCTTTTCTCGCCAAGCGAGCATCAAATTCATCAAAGACAACATGAATAGACTCCTCTACGGTCTTAGTACGCTTGTTGAACACTCTATATGCCTTACTACGAAGAGAATAACCTAAGAAAATTCCTTCATCCGACTTAGCATCAAATTTTCCCACGTTATCTTTTCCATTATTAT